AGTGCCCTGCCATGGCCTCCAGAAGCTGACTCTGCTAGCTCCAGGGGAGCCCCCCACTACTTCCAGCCCTTGTCAGGCTGCTTGTTGGTCCCACTGCTGCTGCGCTGCCGTGGCCTAGCACAGGCTCCATCCCCCTGCAGTGCCGTGGTCTGCCACAAGCTCCACCCCCCTGGGCTGCCGAGGGCTCTGGCTCCAGTCCCAGCCTGCTGCCTACAGTTCCCTGTTGTGGGCTTGGACTTCTGCTCCGCTGCAGGCTCTGGCCCGAGCCCTGTGCTGCTGGGGGCTGCCTCAACCCAGTCCCAGTGCCCTGTCCCACTGCTTCAGCCCAGCCCCTCCTGGATTGCCCTCTTGCCGCTAGACTGCCAGGGTTCTCTGATCCAGGAACATCTGTGGTCCTTCTGGACCACAGATGTTGCTGGACCAGAGAATTCCAGATTTGGGAGGTGCAACCTGTACTTCAATAAATAAGTCATATATTCATTTAAATACCACCAATTATTAATAAAGGGAAACCGTTCTCTCAGTATTATATTACATTTAAGTAAGGAGGTCTCCGAATGTATCAGCAATTTTTTTAAAACTATGAGAGAGGAATCAAGCATCCAGAAATGTATGTAGCTACCTCCATGGCTTGTGCTTTTTTTTTTCTTCCAAAAAAATGTGTGATTTTTATTGCTCCCAAAAAATGATAATCCCTCTGCTCTGGTTTGGGGCAAGCTGTATGCTTACAATAAGAGATAACATTGACATTAACAACATTGTTCGTGATAAATTTTTTCTTTTTTGAATTTGAGCGAATATGTTTGGGGCATAAGTATACTTGACTCTAAAATGGGTGAGAAGCATTTCCATTTCTATCCCCCAAAAGCTTTCCCAACACCTAAATGTTCACTTACAAAACCCAGAACATTTCAGCTTTGGATCTTTCTAGAGCAGAGTTTTTCTCCACTCTGAAGAGTGTTGGAACTTAGATTTGTTCAAATAAGAGGGCAAGACTAAACCTACCAAAATACCTCTTGCATATGACTTAAGGTAGAATTTGAAATGCTGTTGTATTGAACACTACATCATCAAGCCCCAGTGATTTCTTCATGCAGTGCATGTTTTCTTAAAGCTTGTGAAGCAAAGAGTATGCATAAATTGCTTTTGGAGGAAGTATTGTGGATAAGAACAGCATTCCAAATTTCTAAGCCTGAAGGAAGGATCCCTTTTCCTGTATAACAAACTATTGCCAACTACTAAACAGTTGAAAAGTCTCATGAATTCAAGTGTAGCATCTTGGGTTAATGTTTTTCAGCCTTCGTCCCTGCCATCTATTGGGCTTATCATAGGTTGCATGTTACTTTTGTTTGTGTATATTTGCAGAGCAAACCTCAGTGATATTGCATAATTTTCAACACTTTTTATGACAGGAAGTCATTTTGGAAGACATAAGAGAACTTTATTTGAAAGAACTGGAGAATTATGAGTTTTGTTTTTACTACTTCTAAATCCATATAAACAAAAATAGTCCCCTTGAAGCAGTTTCCTCTAAATGTGTCTTTACAATTTGAGCTGAATGGTGGAATAGTGTGTATTTTTTAATTCAGAAAAGCACAAGCCCTATGTGGTCAAAATAGTCTTTGGCCCATAATTCCTGATTTTTTTTTCTTCAAATCATGCCATTAGGCTGACAATCCTGCCTGCCAGGAATAAGGTTTTTAAAATGCCTGATGTATGAATTTTGATGTATACCTTGTTGAAGCAAAAACACGCTCCTCTGTGTTTAGGCAGCTAACAAACAGCTTTATTAATTAATAAAGCACAGCATGAGCCAAACGTGGTTACAGCAGACCCAGGCCCAGTAAGGCTGCTAATACAATTAATCCTAGTATCTTTATACCCTTAGCCCAACAGTCTGACATTAGGGCATTCAATTACAGAAATTCTTAATTAAATTTGGAAAAACAAAGCCTTATTAACAAGATGGCGGACAGGTACGAGGGAGTACATCTTCTGTCCCAACCAGCCCAATTAACACATACCAATAGCCCATCCTGTAGGCCTCTTCTCACAGGGTAACAAAAAGTTTACTTTGGTCTACGTGCTTAAAAAAAAAGCTAAAATGGTTTCTAATATACAAAATGGCTTCTAGCTAAACATAAAATAGCTTCTACAACCTGTATAGATATTCAGATGCAACCTAAACATTCGTGTAGATATTCAGATGCAACCTAAACATTCCATGGTTGAAGTATGGCCTTTCCTTTTCAGACTGGTTCCAGTGAGTGTTCATGCAGCATTTGATAAAGCAGCTCATTATTTTGGGTTGAAGATTGTGCACATACCATTGACCAAGACTATGGAAGTGGATGTTCAGGTATAGCTCTTGGCACTAAACACCTCTTCTGTGGAAAACTTTCAGTAATGTTCCTGAAATCAGTTTTTTGCTTCAGAGATGGGTTGATAGGTAGGGATGGTAGTGATGAACACTGATTATCATAAAGACCAAATAAAACTGCAGCAAAAATAATTGTTTTTGCAGTTTACATTAGGCCATGCTGTCAGCAATTTAGATCTAAACTGTTCCTTTGATTTCACACATTAATTGAGAATTGAATATATCTTTGGGTTTCAGACAAAATATTAGAAAATCTGGGATATGCTCTTACATTTGCTGGGTGTGGGTTAAATGACTTAATTGATCTCTTATGAGTCTAGGCAGAAGCACACTCAACTGGGTTTCAGACAAAATATTAGAAAACCTGGGATATGCTCTTACATTTGCTGGGCATAGGTTAAATGACTTAATTGATCTCTTATGCCTGTAAACAGCACTCCTTCAATAAGTGAGGAGTGTGCTGCTTCATTACAACAGCTATAAAAGGGAAGACACAGAATACAGACTGCTATGGTAACAGAGTTACAGTAATTTATAGTTCTTCAGAAGGCAGACCACTTACCTATTGCCTAGGCACAAAGGCCCTCCTATACACTTTATAGGCTCTGTTCATGGGTTTATCTTAAATCTAATAGCATCTAATAGCATTTTGGGGAGGGTGGAAATTAGAAAATGGCATATTTTTATCTTCTCTCTTTAAATCTTCAGGCAATGAGAAGGGCTATTTCTAAGAACACTGCAATGCTGGTCTGTTCGGCTCCCCAGTTCCCCCATGGAGTTATAGACCCAATTGAGGAAGTGGCAAAGGTAGTGTTCCCTTGAAATGTAAGGTTGCAAGGGAAGATGAATTAAATAAGATTTGAATATCCTGGGCAACTGCTTTCTTTGTAGAAAATGATGTGAATGCAGAATTGTGGCGTTGCTGAATGAAGAAGGAAGAACAAGCTAGTGGAAACATAGCTGCTCTTTTGAAGCAGATACAGCTGCTAATCAGCAGTGAGGTTGGAAAGCAGTTGGGGAGGGTGGGTAGTATAGGATTGTCAGGTTTGGGTATAATTTATTACATATTAATTTAAAAGATGTCTGAAGAATGCAGCATTTAAGCATTTGAAATGACAACTGGATATTGTTGTAGAATCAGCTATTTAAAATGTGAGCTGTTTCATACAATGATATGTCGTGCTGATGAGGATTCTTGCAAAATGGCAAATTTTAAATGCATGCTTCTGTCCTCAAAAGCAGAATAGACTTCCAGTCTCTTATCTTCTGTCTTCTATTGCTGAAGATGCTTTTTGTAATAGTCTGTTTCGTAATTATCAGGCACTAGACTTCACTGCAGGGTCAAGTCTGGGGAGAGCTGGAGTGGAGTGGGGTGTTGGAGGAGAAATGGTTTCATTTAAACAAGCATGGTTAGAAAACTACTTGAGAGAATATCAGGGGTTTAGAAATTCCTTTCAAGTAGGTTCATAAGTAGGGTGGTGGGAAGAAAGACCATTAGATACTTTTTTTTTATGCAACAAATCATGGGGACTCAGACTTTTAAGATGCGATCTACTGTAGGAGATAGTGTATCAAGGGCACTTATTCCCATTCAAGTCATGCTGTGTCCCAGGACAGTAATATATTTTAAACAGTGTCTTAATGCATTTTTTTTTATGCCTAGAAGCAAGAAGAGACTACATCAGGAGTGGGCAAAAGGGCCTCTGCGGGCCGGATTCAGCCTGCCAAGTGGGTTGATCCAGCCCACAGAGGTCCTGCCGTTCTCCTGCCCCCAGACCAATCAGAGTTTATGGTCACAAAGTTTATGGTCCGAGGGTGGGGAAGCCCGGAAGCAGCCTGGACCCGCTCCTTCCGTTTGAGGCCCTGCCCCTTCCCGTGCAGCCCGGGGCCACTTCAAAAATTTTTGAAAATAAATTATTGCCTTCCCCTGGACTACATCATATAATCAGCCAGGTCTTCTGGATCCCCACCGCCTTCCCCTGGACTACATTATATAATCAGCCAGGTCTTCTGGATCCCCACCAAGTACTGCAGAATTGACGCAGTGATGCTTTTTAGACCTTTTTGGAGTTCCCAAACACTGTCTTAAATGTGAAATGCAAAATTAATGTGGATCTCCCAAGAGCGCTATTAAATGTACCTCTGGTTTAGTTACTTGAGTAACTAACTAAAACTTCTTGTCTGGGTTCAGCTGGCACTGAAGTATAGAATCCCCTTCCATGTGGATGCCTGTCTGGGTGGCTTCCTCATTGCTTTCATGGAGAAGGCAGGATTTCCGCTACAGTGTCCATTTGACTTCCGTGTGGAAGGTGTGACTAGCATTTCTGCAGATACCCACAAGGTGAGAAAGGGAAGCAGTTGGGAGCATCTGTCTAAGTAAATGACATTGCAGAACATTGTAAGAGACTGTCTTTGTTTCAAGTGGAGTAGATATGCCTGTCATAATGGACTTTCAAGGAAGAGTTCTAATGTCATACTGTCTTTAGCGTCCTTAATTTACTTTGTATTACTTCCATTGCACTCCACTGGACTTGAGCTGCTAAGTGCAAGATTTGACAGATACACAACAGAAATAGAATTGCATGTGGCTATGAGAACTGCCAGTGCACAGAATGAGCACTTTCGTATTCTCAGATTTTATATTCTTGCTGGCATTATTGGGGGTTGGTGGGCTTTTTTAGGTGTCTGGAGTAACATTTTTCTGCCTGGGAGTGGCTCAATTGTACTGTATTGCAACAATAGGTATTTAAATGTCTCCTTTTCGTTATAAACCTAGGTTCCAAACAAGAAGAATATTGCAGATTCACTGCTGCTGTTCAGAAAAGATGTGCTTCATAATGGGTACAAGAAGTGTGGTTTAGCTCCCTTTTTCAGCCCTGTTTTTAATACAAAAAGAAACCTTTAATGAAAATAAAGGGCAGTCCAATTTGGGGAGGGGTGGGGGGAGAAAATAAACTCTGCTTTATATCGTATTTTATTCTGTGCATTTTGTAAAAACTTAAAAAACAACAAATAGATGAGTAGAACCTTTAAGACTAACAAAACATGTAGATGATGGTATGAGCTTTCGTGGGCGCAACCTACTTCTTCAAATGAATGGAGTATTAGAAGTTCAGATCCAGGAATAAATAAGGGGGGGCGAGGGGAAGGGAAAGGAGAAAAAAATAGAGACAGATGAGTAGATGGTTCAAATAGTTACAACAGGCTGATAAGAACAATTAGCACTCCATTGTTTGTTTGGTTGGTTAAGTCATTAAAAGGTGGAAGATAGTGTGCGAGCCATCCTATTTCCTGGTTCAGACCATTTGCATAAGAATTAAACTTGTAAATGAAGTTAAGTTCAAATCCTTCTCTGTGTGTGTGTTTGGCTTGTGAAATTGGCCTTGAAACAAAACAGTGACTTAGAGATCCATTAATGAGTGTCCAGGTATATTAAAGTGTTCTCCAACAGGTTTTTGGGTATTGCCTTTTTGGATATCTGATTTGTGTCCATTAATTCTTTCCCGTAGAGACGGTCCAGTTTGGCCAGTATACATGTCCGTGGTGCATTGTTGTCATTTAAGGGCATCAATCACATTAGTGGATGTGCAGTTAAATGAGCCTCTGATTTGGTGGCTGATGTGGTTGGGTCCAGTGATGAAATCGTTTGTTTAGATGTGTAGGCAGAGTTGGCACTGGGGCTTATTGCAGAGGTGGGTTTCTGGATGATTATGATGGAGGTGTGTGGCTTGGTTATTGGAAAGAATTTGTTTGAAGTGAGGGGGTTGTCTGTAAGTGAGGACTGGCCTTTCCCCCAAAGCCTCTGAGAGTGAGGGGTCATTTTCCAGGATAGATTGTAAATTGTTGATAATGCATTGGAAGGGTTTAAGTTGTGGTCTGTAGATAAGTGGAATTCTGTTGTTTTCTCTTTTTCTCCTGTCTTGAAGTAATTCATGTCTGGCTACTTTTTTGGCTCTATCGATCTGTTTTTTCACTTCTCCGAGTGGGTATTTCAGTTTTATGAATGCTCTTTATAGATCCGGTAGGTGTTTGTCTCTCTGTGTGGGATTAGAGCAAATCCATTTGTATCTTGGGACTTGGCTGTATACAATAGATTGAGAAATATGTCTGGGATGGAAGCTAGCAGCATGAAGGTAAGTGTAGCAGTCGGTAAGTTTCCAGTATAGGGTGGTAGAAATTTGTCCGTCGTTTTGTACTGTAGTGTCAAAGAAGTGGCTCTCTCGTGTGGACTGATCCAGGTGGAGATTGATGCTGGGGCGGAAGTTGTTGAAGTCCCTGTGAAATTCTTCAAGGGTCTCTTTCCCATGGGTCCATATGATGATGTCATCAGTGTAGTGCAAGTAGAGTAAAGATGCTAGGGGGCGAGAGCTGAGGAAGCATTCAAGGTCAGCCATAAAGACGTTGGCATGTTGTGGTGCCATGTGAGTGCCCATGACTGTGCCACTGACTTGAAGATACAAATTGTTTCTGAATCAGAAGTAGTTGTGGGTGAGGACAAAGTCACAAAGCTCTGTAACCAGGTGTGCAGTGGTGTCATTGCGGATGGTGTTCCTGATAGCCTGTAATCTGGTTTCATGTGGAATGTTGGTATAAAGAGCTTCTACATCCATGGTGGCCAGGATGGTGTTTTCAAGAAGATTACTGATGTTTTGTAGTTTCCTCAGGAAATCAGTGGTGTCTCGAAGATAGCTAGGAGTGCTGTGGTAGCATGGGGTCTGAGGAGAGAGTCAATATAGCCAGATAATCCTGTTGTAAGTGTGCCAATGCTTGAGATGATGGGTCATCTGGGATTTCCAGGTTTGTGTATCTTAGGTAGCAGATAGAAAACTCCTGGTTGGGAATGGGTGGAGGTGGGGGGGAGATTAGTGTAAATTTGGTCCTGAGCAGCATTAGGGAGCTTCATGAGTAGTTTCAGGGTTTTTTTAGTACTCTTTAGTGGGATCACAGGAGAGAGGCTTGTAGAATCTGGTGTTGGTGAGTTGTCTGGTCGCTTCCTGTTCATAATCTGATCTGTTCTTGATGACTACAGTGTTCCCTTTGTCAGCCTCTTTGATTATGATGTTAGAATTGTTTTTGAGGCTGTGTATAGCGTTATGTTCTGTGCATTTTGTATTGAAGCTGGATTTTTGAACTCTGTCCTCTCAAATACATATATCTAGTACCTATAATTAGTGTATTTTTGTATATTTATCTTCTCATCTTATAAGTTGAACACGTAGAATTAGAATGGACAATTTTATGACCCCATAATAGTACAGCTGTGTACTAAATAAGGGGAAAATACAACATCATGCTTCGGAATATAAGTTGCTTCCTTCCTGCTATAATTGGGCATTTCTGCCCAAGCAGCCTAAGTGATTAGATAATGGCCAAAGCTTGGCAAAATCTTTCTGGTGCCCCCTCTGTACCATAAAGTAGCATTGATGTCCTGAAAGGCATGGGGGAAGCAGTTTTAAAATGAATGATTTCTGTATTTGGATACTTCAGGACATGAGAGAGTAAATGTGAATGTAAACAATGCTTATTTAATGTGACTTTCAATTTGTCTTTTGCCTGTGTACATGCTCATGCATATCCTTTGTCAATTTAATGCTTGGCCTGTCATTGTGTGTGTCTCTTGCAGTATGGCTATGCACCAAAAGGCTCTTCAGTGATATTGTACAGTGACAAGAAGTACAGACACTATCAGTTCTTTGTTGCACCTGATTGGCAAGGGGGCATCTATGCCTCCCCCACCATGGCTGGCTCCAGGCCTGGTGGCATCATCGCAGCTTGCTGGGCAACCATGATGTACATGGGAGAAGACGGTTATGTTGAGGCTACTAAGAAGATCATTAGTACAGCGCGGTTCATTGAATCAGAGTATGTTTTTTGGCCTTATTTTTGTCTTTCCTTTTGACCCCTTCTGGACCTTGCACATAGAACCTATCGCAAATTCCCTTAACTTTTGGCAAGTAGTTAAGGGCCACGTTTCTACCGAGGGGGTTTGGGTCTGGGACAGAAGCTTGGTGCAGAAGGGAGTTTGGGATAGGAGACTGGGGTGCAGGAGGCAGTGTGGGGTCTGAGAGGGAGTTTGGGTGAAGGAGGGGGTTGTGATCTGGGGCAGAGGCTAGGGGTGTAGAGTCCAGGAGGGAGTATGGGTGCAGGAGAGGATTCTGGCCTGAGGGGAGGGGCTCTAGTTACATACTGACTCTCTGAACTGACACCCATTCCCAAGGGATTGTGGTGCCAAGGGGACTGTCTGTATCTTTCACTCAATGGCTCTAGAGCTGTGGAATTTCCCTCCTTTTGGACCTGAGGAGGCCCACAACACAGTTGTCTTTCTGTTGAAAAAATAAATCGCTTCTACCTGTTTCAAGGTTGCGGAAAATTGATAACATCCTAATCTTTGGGAAACCTGAGGTGTCTGTCATCTCTATCGGATCAGACATGTTTGACATCTATCGGCTGTCCAATTTGTTAAGCATGAGAGGATGGAACTTAAATATCCTGCAGTTCCCATCAAGGTAAGTTGACTGCCAAAAGGGAATTATTAATTTAGATGAGAGGTTCTCAAGCCTTATTGCCATACAACCCCCTACTGACAGTAAAATTTGTATAGGATGCTGGGATAGAGGGTCAAAGCATGAGCCCTGCTACCCCTGGTGTGAGGGAGAGGGGGCCAGAGCCCTTTCATGCTGGGTGGGGATGGAGCATGGGCTTTAGCTTCAGCCCTGGATTTCAGGAAGTCTAATGCTGCTCCTGCTGACTCCATTACAATGGGGCCATGACCCACTTTGGGGTTCCGACCAATATTCTCTGGAAGCTATGCATTCCTAAGGCTGCTCAGGAAAGATTCCATTGGCACTCAGCTGATTAGCAGACCGTCCACACAGCTAGGTTTGTGTTTCTCCTGATATATGCACTGAAGCATGTGCACTAACAAAATTTATACTGTACATGAATGGAAAAGATTAGCGGGAACACTCGTCCTCCCAACATTCCTATGCAGGAAATAGGTAAGTAGCATCCTCGCTTTACAGATGGAGGGTTATATGACTCCCAAGGCTACTGTGTCAATAGCTGTCTGAATTAGAATTTCAGAGTTCCTGAAATCGGTCACTTGTATGTATGTCTATACCCGTGGACTGTCTCTCTCTAGAGCTCTGATTTTCAGGAGATTGTAGTTGTCTGTGGTCCATAGCCAAGCATCTCTGAAAACTGATTTCTAAAATGTGTTAAGAAAAAAACAGGCACAACCATGTCACCCACACAACACTGGAAGAGGGGGGAACATTGCAGTGCAAAACTAGAAGGTAATCTAAATTATGCTGGCATCCCAGAGTTTTCTTGGAAGCCCAGAAATTTGCAAGCTTTGTAAATTTCTATAATACTCTCATTTAGTTTACTGTATTTGGCCTATTTGCATATCCCGACTTTAAAAAAAAAATTACTGTGTGTGGCCTGTTTACTCTTTCTTTATCAAGAATTGGTTATGCACGTCTGTTAACGACATGTATTTGGCCTTTGTCTTCACTGATCATCAAAGCATGGCAATTAAAATCCTAAGAAAGACAAGGCAGTTCATTGCTCGAACATGAGTTAGATAAAGGTAAACTTTAACTCTTTACTTCTGCCTGCTAATGTGTGAAAACCACAAACTTCTTTCTTTGCTAGTATTCTATCTCATGTTAGCTAATATGTTAGCTTAACACAAGGTTAGTGAAAATGCACACTAATTACAGAGCATTTGAGGGAGCTTGTTAGGAGTAGATCACATACAACAATCTGCTAGAACTAGGTATTTCCCAAAGGGTGGGGCATGTGAAGTGGCACCTGTGGGGGAGGTGAGGACGGAGCTCTCATATGTTCTTCAGAGTCTCATTTTGCAATTTTTAAAAGAATGTGCAGTGGTGGCAAAGAAAACCTTCAAAACGTGAGGGTAAAGTAAAGGGAGTTCATAGAGCTGCTTAAACAATAGCTTTAAGGTGGGAACTGCCCTAATTCGTTTCAAGAGATGCTAATTCAGAGGGGGGAGTATGTGTGTGCGTTGAGGGGAAGGATGCGAAAGAAAGGTGGGATGTCATGTATTAAGTTATGTGCGTCTTTAACATGTGGTGAAGCTGCAGAGGGAGTGTGACTGTCATTTCTGTGGCGGAAGAAAGTCCCGGCCTTCAAAAGTTTGGGAAACACTGCTGTGAATTTGTATTTTCCCTGGATTTATTGTATTTAAATGGGTGAGAGCAGTGCGTGAGATGCTTTCACTTTTTGAAAATCAACCTGATTATTCCTTAGAACGCCTGGTTGAATCCAACACATTCCTTAAGTTTTCAAAGGGGTCTCAACTCCTCAGTCGGAAGAACGGTGTGACTTAAACCCTCATCCTTAGGTTTTCAGAGTAACAAATAGTTTTCTGCCCTTTCTATTGTGAAATAGCTTATCTTTCCTCTCACCTTTGCCTGCAGCATTCATCTCTGCATTACGCTGTTGCACACACAAGCTGGGATTGCAGAACAATTCTTGACGGATGTCCGAGACTGTGTCTCAGAGATCATGAAGGACCCTAAAGCCAAGACTACTGGCATGGTAAGGAGACCGTGGACAACAAGTGTGATTTAAATCTCTAAATTCACACATCCCTGTTGGGATGAAGTTCTCCTGTGTAATACGTTTTTCTTCTTCTTCTTCTTTTTTTTTTTTAAATCATAGGGTGCCATCTATGGAATGGCGCAATCCATCCCAGACAGGAACATGGTAGCAGAGATTTCTCATGCATATTTGGACTGCCTCTATTGCACAGACATCCCTTCTAGTGACAAACACATGAATGGTTCTCCTGGACACCCTTGAATGTAGTAACTGGTACTTAACCAGACAGCTCTGGGGGTGGTGTTCCTGGAGAGAAGAGATTACACTAAGCGACTGTCTTGATCCTGCAAATGCAGGTCTAGTGGCAGTTTTGTCTACAGAGCTTTCCTCCCCTCTCTTTCTTATCCCTCTACTTCCTGAAATCAACTTTTGAGTAATTTCCACTGTCTTTGCCATTCTCAATTGTTGGTTTCGTTTTAATTGTTCTATTTTATCACCTTAGCTGCTAAGACTAGTCCTAAAAGTCTTGGATGGAATGGCATTTTTCTGGCAATTGAGTGCCCGTTCCACAACCTCCTAACTCCTCAGGTATTTTGCCTCTGTTTATTCTGTACTATTTCTTTTTCTGGGAGAAAAGCTGTGGATCCTTTATTTAGTGAATGCTCCACTAGGATCTGGATTCTCTGTAGTTATCTGAAACAGAGGCACTGTAGCAGCCTCAGAATTTGGAGACAGAAGTGAACTGAACACAGTGTAGTATTTAGAGACTCCAACTGTACTGCTAACTACTCTAGGAAACTGCATTTAACAAGTTGTTTAATGGGATTATACAATGCTAACTCTGTACATGATTATCTTTCTTTTATTGATTTACCAGTCCAGTCTTTGAATTGTCTACATGTGGAGATCCAGTTAGGTACAGTTCTCAGTTTATAGTTAGCGATTTCTTTGGATGGAATTGTTAATGTAAGCAATTCTTCCTGGGCTTTGCAAAAATTGCAATATAAAAACAAAATGTGTTTTAAACCAAATTGTTAGAATAGGGGAAAAAGTCTGAAGGTACTCCTCAAGAACCTCTCTTATACAGTCTCATTGCTTTCCTGACTCTTTTTCTATAACTTTTACATTACCACCCATAATGCTATTGTATCTTGCACAACTCTGGAGGAGAGAGAACTGATTATTTCATTGTATGTAACTTAAAGATTTTGCACTATCCTAAAATGCTGCAGTGAAGTCAGTTGAGCCCTGCTCTGTGTAATGGCTGGGGATTTATGTGCAAACATATGGCACCAAAGTTAACTTTTTTTACACCATCTTTAGTATGAAGTGGTGACTTTTGTAAAAGAAAGAAATGGTTTCTATCTGCTCTTTGCACTGTCTCTTTTAAGGCACATTTTCAAAGGGCATTCACCATTGTGCCTTGACCCCGCTCCAGCTTTTCCTTAGACTCTAGGAAGTGTCTGATGGATCAGCTACTGACTGTGATGTTGCTATGGTCATTTCATTATGGTACTCTATTGAAAATAAGCACCGTGGCAAATTGGACTCAGGTACAGTACACTCCACCCTCAATGTAATAGTCCTATTGAGCCTAGTGTTTTCATTGTTTATAAAGGTGTTGATACAGTGCTGAGGGTGAGGTGGTATGATGGCATCTAATTAATATTAAAGGTAAGGTTCTATGGAGGAAGAAGAAAGGAAGGAGTCTCTTAAAAATGAGTTCCACCGTGCCTACTTTTTTGGCATAATTTTGTCTGTTATGCATTGAGTAGGCTTGTAAAATGGTTGCAGTCCCCTAAACAAACAAGAAAAGTTTTTGATGCTAATCAGTGCTGGGGTTACCCCTGCAGAGCTTTATAATTAGGGTGGAATGCATTTTCTACTACTCATTCTTTTGATCCGTTTCTGCATACTACTAGATCCTAGATCAACCTCAGTACTAGATTTGCTTGCATCTACTTCAAATGCAAATAGCTCTCACAAGAGTTGGTTGCACTATGCAGTGCTTTCTGGGGGTAGAGGTGCTGAAAATCTTAAAGGAGGCCCCCTCAACCTCAGTACTAGATTTGCTTGCATACAAAATGCTCCAGAGTGGCTCAACATGTCTGAAGTGCACACTTGTGTGGTAGCTGTGCAAATGAAAGTGACTTACTAGGCATTGCTAACACAAATTTAATGTTGGGTTCAAAGTCTGTGGGCAAGGATACCTTTTTTTAATATACATCTACCATTCTGTACTCTGAATCTATTCAGATTACGCTACTTATAGATATCAGTAAGATATGGCAGGCATGTGCCTAGTCAGAATTCTTTTAGGCCCTCTTCTTGAAACATTTCATTCAAATTGCTGGATACTTCATTTTTATCTTGCTGACTTAGTCAATATGTATTGGACCTAATATGTCTATTAGCATCCTTCCATCTGAGGATCACTCCATTTCATAGTATATTGTGCTTTGGAAAGAGGGTCATCTAAGTAGCCAGCAGTTTTGATGTCTGACTTCCAACCCAGACCTAAAAAAACAGAAACATGGTTTTAAAAAAAATCCTTCCCAATTCTCCTCGTTCTCTTTCCCAGGAATTACATGGGACTAACAGATCAGTGTTGCAATTCACACTTTTTAAATGTATTTGAAGAGGTATTTCTTTCTCTCTCTCTCTCTCTCTCTCTCTCTCTCTCTACTCCATTCTGTGTTTCACATACTGTTAATGACTGTGACTCTTTTTGATTGTTTTATGTACATTTGATCAATATTGTAAATGTAGTCTGTTCTGGATACTGTATTTTACTAATAGGCAGTCTTTATTTGCCTTTGTCATTTAATATAGAATCTGTATCTGATTCATCATGCATACTGTTTTTAGAAAAATGGGGGACTTAATACATTATGTACTGGGTTTTAAAATCTTCTGAGTTGGTTATAATCTGAAACTTGATGGTACTTTTTAGGGACAAGGAGGTTCCCAAAATATCAAATTCTACCTTTCTGTAAGAGTTTTTCAAACCAAGTTTTAAACATGGGCATTCTTTCAGTGTAGAGAGGAATTAATGTACATATGAAGTGCTCACAAGGAAAGTAGCTGCTCGCAGATGTTAGTCTTCCATTTGATAAATAAAGGTCACTCTCCTGTGTAAAGTGAGAGGGTGCAGTGGATACTGAGCCATTGAATCCATCTGTGCTTTGATGCTTTCAAAAAGATTAAAATGCATATAATGAGACTATTGCACACATTAAAAATATACCCATTGCTTTTAAGGGGCTTGAAGGGCAGGATTTGCTCTGGTGGTGATATTCTGTAACATTCATTCTAGCTTATTACTGTTTAAAAATGCTGTAGTGGAGGGCTCATTTTGTATTAAAGTGGTTCACTTAATTATCCAAGCCCACTGTGTTTGTGTTTTATTTAAGAAAGGTTTTCTGAACTACTAGCCTGCATCCTTGATGATCCAGCTCTGCTTTTGTAAGGAATGGTATCTTTTCAGTGTTGATGCACAAGTCAGGAGTAGTGATCTAGACTATATATTAGTGTGGTTTCCTGTTAATTAATGTGAATTACAGCTTTTCATCTGCTTTTCTTTCTGCTGCCCAGATTAGGGCACCAACTGACTTTTTTTTTTTTAATGTGGTATTAAGGGGAGATTGTAATAAGGAGCTGTTGAATTCTGAGGTTAGACAAATATTCAGCGGCTGAATCTGGAGCCAGTTCCGACTTACATACAGATTCAACTTAAGAACAAACCTACAGTCCCTATCTTGTACGTAACCCGGGGACTGCCTGTACAAACTAAAATTTCATACAGTGATTTGTTTATATCCATATACTCTATATTGAAATGTATTTTTTCCAATTTATGTATTTTATAATTGTATGGTACAAATGAGAAAGTAAGCACTTTTTCAATAATAGTGTGCTGTGACACTTCTGTATTTCTATGTCTGATTTAGTGAGCAAGTAGTTTTTAAGTGAGATGAAACTTGGGGGTCCAGTAGCCCAGAAAAATTGAGATCCACTGGCCTGCCACACCTCCAGTATAATCTTGAATACTGACTCTTCAATCCCTCTTACCCAAGGACACCTTTCCCTGTTAAGAATTATTTGGTGTTTTTTACTACTGGTTTTATCAGCTCCATTTCGCTGGAGATATCCTCCTTCTAGACCTTGTTATTTCTTGGTTTGTTTGTTTTTGTAGTGCCATTCCACCTTGAGGTACTAATGTGTAAAAGCATATGCAGTTTCTCCAGAAGGTATTTATGCAATGACATGGAGATTTGTGGAGTAGATAGGGGAATGGGAAGAGAAAATAAATTGAAAAAACTACGCAAAGTCATTCATAGTTCAATCAAAACTACACAATGAATGATCCCTTCAAATTGACAACTTGTATATTATGAGAACTTTATTGTAAACATTAGATATTTTCAGCAGACTTTCTTGGCTCCCATCTCTGTATTATGGCCAGTTACAACACAGGTAACCCCACAAACCTGATATAATACTATTTGAACAAAGCTTACAAATGTAACCAAACTGCACATCACAGATACTGGTCTGCTAACAGAAGAGACCAGGCAACATAAGCTTTGCCATGGACAAAACAGCATAATTGTAAAGTTGGAAGCAAGTAAAAATAAACTCCAACTGCATGCACAGACAGTTAAGCAATACTGTTCTCTTCTGCTAAATGCCATATATGCCAAAAGTGCTAGAGGTCAAGTAATTTTACACGGTGGTCACTGTACCAAAAGTGGAAGCAAACCATTTAAAAGAGGCAGCTTTCCTCCTGGTGACTGGGAAGTAGAAAGTATATTTACGCTAACATAGCTCATTCCCGTGGAAACTTTGAGCTGTGGTGGAAGTAGAGCTGGGCATAGTATCATCTTCTGCTGGATCAGTAACTGCTTTGGAACTAGCAAATGTGTTAAGTTTTAAGAATGAAAGAGGAGATGGTAGCTGTTCAGTCAATTCCGGCTTATGTACTTCCAGCCTTGTTCAAGCCAGAGAAGCTGCAACTTGCTCTATGAAACTGGCCAAATTGATATCCCGCTCAGATAAGCCAGCACACTCATGTGTGCTCAGGATAATGTGAACCTAAGAAAATAAAAAAAAACAACCTGCAGTTGGTGGAAGGAACAGCCATATTCTAAGCTTCTCCCAACATTATAAATGGTTGTCTATCTGAAGTAGTGAAAGTATTTCCATTACTTTTTCCTCAATAATACCCATAAAAACTCTAATAGGTAGGACAGAAGAAACAAGACTTCATGTTGTTAAACCTGAAGTACCATCTATGTTATGAGATCTAATTGCTTGCTTCCATCCTTTACCTTGCTGTAAACGTTGAACCATTCGGGGTGGTGGTCCAGTTTTTCTGCCTGCAAAGCTACTCTGGTCATGAACCCAAATGCCTTTCCAGGATGAAAAAAATACAAGTTAGCTGTGAGTTAGCTAGTGGTGGCTCATAATTTCATCAAGAATGTGTCAACCATAAATAATTAACTTCCTTTCCTTTTTGGGAATCCAGGCAAACACAAAACTTGCCTATGCTTAGGATTTCCACAATTGACCACCTGTTTGTGTGGAAATTTCTGCAAAAACCAATCATTGCCTGGTTGATTAGTTGAATGCTTCAATAATTGATGCTATAGCTCAATCAGAAGAAGCTTATGAATGGGGTGCAGGAATTACTGGGGGAGATTCTATGGCCTGTTATGCAAGCATTCAGAGCAGAGGAGAATGATCCCTCCCAGTCTAAACCATCTATGAATAGAGGGAAACAATTTAAATAAAATAAACACAAACTTCCTTGTTGGGATGCCTGAACTGAAATGCAGACCACTTGCAGTATGGGATGAAAGAGTCCATGTCTGTACCCGATTGAAGTCCTTGAAATGGAATTCTTTGAAGATGGCATCTCTCCCTTCCACCTCATTCCACCCTACCGCTTTCAGGTTTGGCAACAGCTGCTCCCTCTCCTCAGTGCTTAGCTGGTGGGCTTTTCCTGCCTAGGAGAGGAAAAAGGAGAAGACTAGACCAAGACGACCAAGGCTGTTGACATTTGCTTGAGCAGAGGTAACTCCCCTCTGTCCTCCTTAATCGTTGGGTAGTTACACTAGTATTTATTTTGTGAATCATCTGTACAAAGAAATAGAATGATGGTTTTCTCTGGCTCCAATAGTTTGAGGGGATGCAGAGCCCCAAAGGCACTGAGCAGCTACTGTTTCTCTAGTGTGGGTTTCTGTTTTTGTGTGCTCCATAAGTATGAAAACTACTTGTATGCCCACTTTTAAGCTCGCTGGGCTATAATTATGCAAGAAAAACTTAAACAACAAATAGTCTAATAGCACCTTAAAGACTAACAAAACATGTAGATGGTATCATGAGCTTTCATGGGTAAAACCCACTTCTTCAGATAACCAGAGTATAATACGTCCAGATTCAAGAATAAATAAGGGAAGAAGGCAGGGGGAGGAAAAAGGGGAGAAGACGAAAAAGAGAGACAGCGAGTAGATAGTTCAAATAGTTACAAGAGGCTGGAAGAACCCTTAGCACAGGGGTGTCCAAACTTTTTTCAAAGAGGGCCAGATTTGATGAAGTGAACATGCGTGAGGGCCGACCATTTTGCCTGACATTCTTTGAACCATTAAAATTAAATGCAAATTAACTATTTTATGCGGCAACTTGGAATCCATTAATGAGTGTCCAGGAAGATTAAAATGTTCTCCAACAGGTTTTTGTATGTTGCCTTTTCAGATATCTGATTTGTGTCCATTAATTCTTTCTCATAGAGATTGTCCAGTTTGGCCAATATACATTGCAGTGGGGCATTGCTGGCATTTGATGGTGTAGATTACATTTGTGGATGTGCAGTTAAATGAGCCTTTGATTTGGTGGCTGATGTCATTGGGTCTCGTGTTAAAATCGCTGGTATAGATGTGTGGGCAGAGTTGGCACCGGGGCTCATTGCAGGGGTGGATTCCTGGATGATTATGATGGAGGTGTGTTATGCATGTAGACAAAGGCACACTGTTTCTCTGCTACATCAGGATTTCTCATAAATGTACCTAGTAATTCAGTAATGATGATATACAGGTAAGTGTGCCTATGCTGTCGCTAGTAACACCCAATGAGCTACAGAGGAACTGTACTGGAGAAAGTGTAAGATGAAACAATAGGTTAAATGTGACACTATTGAATTTATTTCAGAACTTCAGGTATATAATATGCGAGATTCATTAAAAGTGCATTTTGAGAAAAGATTCCTTGTGCCGGCCTGCCAGCAACCTAATTATAAGCACCATTCTCTGCCCAGCCTGCCACTTCCCTTGCAGAAGCATTACTTTTAATGGTATCCCTGTTTCTATTACTGACTTCAGCCCTGTCCCCCATCCAGCTGCTTTGTTGTGTGATCCGAGGCAGAGATTTTTTATTTATTGAAAATGCAGCGTAAACACTGCTCAGCACAGCAAAACCTCAGCCATTGCCCTTTGTGTGATCTCTAGATAAGCTTATTCTACGTATCTTAGCAACCAGAATAAAGTGGGGATGGAAGCTGATTTACCATAACGCCATCAGAACCAGACACTTTCTCCTGTGCTGCAGAGACACTAGCTAGAAGGGAATAGCTGTTACAAACATACAGCATATGGTATGTGTTGTGTGTGTGAGGCAGGGGCTGGGTGTGCAGGGGAGAATCACTTAACATTTCAGTGTTGAAATAACCTTTCTGGCTGCCTGGTAATCTAGAGGTTAGTGCTCCAGGCTCAATCTGCCTTGCAAGAGCAGAGGAAGAGAAGTCTGGCTGGAGTCTGGCTCTGCTATTTCTATTGCTTTGCTCTTTGTTTGCTATAAACAAAATGCCTGAACAGCTGCGAACTGGTTAATAGTCTAGCCACACTGTCACTGTGGAAGTGCGTCAGACTTCTGTGCAAGCATTACAGTGGGGAGGGACTGTGATGAAAGCAAGATAAGCTAGTGATGACTAAGCAGAGGACAGGTGTACTTTCCCCTTTAATAGGAGAACATAACAGCTATGGTCTCCTCACCCGTACTCCGCCCCTCCCCCCCTTGCAACTGTCTCTTACAAAACGGCAGCTGTTGTAACACGCTGCATGGCTATAAAATACACTGTGGGTGTCTCTAGGATGACAGGTCCTCAGTGCTGCACATATGTTCAAGCTGACTGCTGAAATCAACAACGTTCCAACCGGATGGCTGATTTTCCCATGGTCTACTAGACCCGGTCTGCACTGGGGAAAAAATTGATACATGTGACTCAACTCCAACTATAAGAATTGTGTAGCTGGAGTCAGCATAACTTGAATTGAATTTCTGGGACAGCCCCACTGTGAGAGGTCAGGAGAAACTCTCCCATTGACTTCCCTTACTCCTTGTGACCCTGTGGAGTACTGGGGTCGACGGGGCTGCCCTCAGCATTCATTTTAGTGGGTCCTTAATAGACATGCTAAATCGAACCCTGGAAGATCAATCTCTGCATAAGTATAGACAAGGCATGCCAGCCTGACAGTTCTTTGTATGGTATTCCCTCCATCTTCCACCTGTGACCTTGGGCCCAGCTGCTTCTGCACTAAGCTTTACTTGCCTATTGAATTGAGGGTATGATGATGCTATGAGATTTTCTAAATCCTAACTTTGCAGTTGGGCTACTGCAAACACAAATATATGTTTGAGTAGCTCAAAGTCAGGATGAGGTGCCATGGCACGGTTGAGTAAAGGGGCAAAATGGTAAAGCCAGACTCTCTCATCAAGGCTAGAACATGCTATAAGAAGGTAGAGGCTTTTGTAGGCCCTAGTCATCTTTAGCTTCTCAAGCCTCTGGCTCTCTCTTCTCCTGACAGGTGAGCAAACTTGCCCTCCTCCCAATTACCAAAGCTGCCTGAGTTCTCTAAACCCAAATGCTTCTATGCAAGCTCCTCTGCTCTCTTCACAGTATTAGAAGTGTCCTAGTTTTTCTGTCCTGAATTCTGGCCACAGTGGACTGCTGCTTCGTCACAATTGCCAGCTAATGCCTTCCACATGCTCTTGTTTGTTAAAACATGTTTCCCATTACAGCAAATTTAATAAATCTTAAAATGTTTTGCTGGAGTTCCCAGCAGCCATATTGTTTGTTCCTGTCTGAAACGCAGCAGATTTGCACACAATATATTTAGCCTGGACACTCTAATTGACAATATTTTCCCCCATTTTTTCCTTCTCTTTCCCCCCCCATCCCCTCTCTTGCTCTGCTGTTTTTGTATCCTGGACCCCTTAACTCTGTTCATCTAAAGAAGAGGGTTGTGCCCACAAAAGCTCACAATACCATCTACCTTATTGTTAGTCTCTAAGATGCCACATAGTCTCTAAGATGCCATTCATTGTTTTTTTAATTTTTTTCAGTTACAGACTAACCCAGTTACAGACTGAAACTATCAGTCTTTGTAACTTTAACCTTAACAAAAATTCCAGTAATTTCCTTTTAGAGTTTGCTTGGTGATTATGAAGTGAGAAGCCAATATTACTGGCTAGAGGTAGATATACTGCAAGCAGGACTGCAAATGACCAAGCAGTGCATCTCAAACCTGACATACAGCATCTTCTGCTCTTATAGTGCTGGGCCCCCAACACATGTCTGCCCATTCACCTTAGCTCTGATCAGCAATTTCTGTTGTTCTAACCCTAGGATCCCTTGAAGCTGTTAATAAGATACAAGTCCAACTTGTAGCATCCTTGCTTTAGCTGTACCAGAGCTCTGGCCCTAAGCATCTGTGGAGGGGGGGAGGGGGGAAGCAAAGGTTTTCTATGCAAAAGTTAATGGAACCGTATATAAGAGAACCAAACAGTGTTGCAAATCTGTACCGATGTGATTCACAAGATAAAGTGATTTCAGTGGAAGTTGTATCTTTGGAGTGTTAGTGGGGACTAGTCATATTTGTAACTCCTTTTTGCAGAAAGGGAAAGCCTAACAAGCCCCCCTCCCACCAGTCCCTGAAAAGAGACTCCCACTGGTGAATACCCACTACGTACTGGAGTAGCTGCCTATAGGTTTGCCTGGGCTAGTCATTACTGAATAATAAAGCTTTGTTCTTTCTTTTCTCCCTACTCTTTTACAATAGAGCAGCTGGTTTAAACTTTCTGCCTTTCCAAATTAGCATAGCTGTCACTTACAAAGCAAAGGCTGGCTGTCGAAGCCATGACTTACCATGGTTGTTGATTGCCTGGGGACTCAGTGACTGGTATTCAGATGCAGCAAATGCATGTGTATGTGAAAGACTAGATGAGCAACAGGCAAAGGCACAGCTTGTGTCAGAGCGCTCCTTGCAGATAGTAAGGGAGGGAGGAGAGGAGGCGTGGCAAGTGTGTTTAATCCACCCACTACAAACAGCTGCATCTGCTGCCCAGGTCCTAATGATTTACCAATTGCAGAATCAAAGGGCAAAGCTTATCTGTTTCCTGTAGTGCTCTTTCATGTACATAGCAGGACTGGTTGGCTATCTTTTGAGACATACTAAAATTGCCCTGTGTGTTCATTTGTTTTATGTAGTGACACAAGCTGTGTGCATCCATCTTTCCTTTCTCAGATGGAGACCAACCATTTCTGCTATCACAGGTGCCTTGTTGAAACAAGAACAGGATAATGATTAAAACAAAAAGGTTTTCTGTACAGTTGATGGTGGAAATACATTTGATTACATAATCAGGTTGTTTGACTAATCCTGAGAGGTTGTGATAATCTTATTTACCCTTCACTCATTAGATTGCACAATACGGTTTCTGAAAAATAATGCAAATGAAAATTTTAGTGGGGACTATTCAGATTAGCATTTCGATGTTATCTACCCAAAGTCTTTAGATGCATGTAAATAAGTTAGGGGAAGAGATGCAGTGTCAATAACCCCTCTGTAAGTCATTCACTTCCATCACTAGAAGAGACTGAAATTACATGCACTCAAGTTCATCCAGCTCATGATCTCAACAGATCCTTCATGACAACATAAAATACTCTTGTTTCAGCAGATCCACCACACACAGGATTCTCAGTCTGTTCAATTGGAAAGTTATTCTGACTCTGTATTACTGAAATAATTGAGACTCTAGTGCAATACAAATAACACACCAAGACTTATTTTTATGATGTACAGCTCTGTGTGTACACGCTGTGCAGTTTCTTAAACAAAATGCTTGGACAACTTAAAGCTTCTCCCATAAACTGTAAACTTTGTGTGTGCACGTGCTGAAAAAAATAGAGCTAAATTAATCATTACTTTGCCACTACTGAAATTGTCATTTCTGATGTATAATGCTGCAAGTATTTGACGGAACAAAGTGGTGTTGTATGATGTAGGCAGAAAGTAAAGAATACAATATCCTGTTGAAATGGTAGATGGAATGTAGAAAAGCAGAATGGAATTGTTCACACTTAAATTTGCCCTTGGCTAAAATCTGGCTCTTGTGAAAAATGCAAAGGAATTTCTGACACAGACCAGTTGGGGCCTGTGTGGATGTGTCAGGGTTAGTGAGACTCAAGTCTGCCGACTGATTTTTTTTTTTTTTAAAGTCCAGAGCTGGAGCATCTGCATTCATTAATGACCAAAGGTTTACAGTTTTGCAGCTGGGTCTAGAAACTTGGGCTCCAGCATTCACACAGCAGTTCACAGCCAAATCAAACCACCATATCCCAGGCTTCCTAATGCTCTTCCCAGCTGCAGACATAGGAGTCCTTGGCTTGTGGTGCAGACATCACTTCCCTCAGCTCCCATTGGCCAGGAACAGCAATCTGGCTACCGGGAACTGCAAGTGGCTGTACCTGCGGATCTGCATGTAAATAAAGCATCTGGCAGGCTGCCAGACAATAACCCTGAAGAACCATGTCTGGGCTGCTTATTCCCCACCCCAATCTGCCTGGAGGCTACATGCAAACATAATATAGACTGTCAAGGAACACACAGTTGTTCCCCCTCCCCTAGCACGTTTCTAGACTACATACCATCCCCCCAGCCTTCCTACAGCCAATAATTCTGGCCTACGTTTAATGTTCTTCTCTTCCAATCCCCACCATATCTCTACACAATTTATTGTTTAAAGGAGGCTCATTAATTTGTGACCTTGCCAATTTGTACTGCATGGTGCACTAAAAGAGAAGACCGTATAAAGTTCTTACTTTTTACACCCTGGTGCATCTTTTTAACATTGAACAAGTTTCTTGTTTAAAAAAGAAAATTTTGTTTCAGCGGTGTTTGCATGTCTTGGCCTCCACTTTGAATTCCTGGAGGAGAGGGGGGGATGCTAAGATACTGGACAGCAAATTCATGCCGCTTTCTATGAGTTGTAATACAATTTGTAGTGGGCCATCCATTAGAAATCCTTCCTATATGAATAGCCAGTGTGGAACCAGAGACTTATAAAGAATAAGGTTCACTCTGCTTGTATCTCAGTGGTCAGAATAAAATGGAAGGGTGAAAGTCAGACAGCAGCTGCCCTTGAGTCAGTGAACTACTTTCTTTTCTTGGGAATCACTTGGCCAGCGTAGGAGGAGAAAGGCCACTGTCCCATGGGATTGAGAGAGAGTGCTGACGGACACTCAGAGTCAGGCCTAGTGATCCTGGCCCTAGCCATGTCCATACTGCAAAATGATGAAATTTGGGTCTGACACACGCAGGATTCAGCTTCAGCCTCCACCCTGCAGAGTCCTGCAGCACAGGCCCAGAAGGCTTGGTGGCCTAAGCCAGATGGTCTTGAGTCTAAGCCTGCGTTACACTGCTGTGTGGATGTGCCCTGTACCACTTCTTGCCCAAATGACAGCACGTCTGCTACCAACAGCACTCTACAGATGGGAGATCTGGGAAATATACTTAATCAAATATACCACTTCCTGCTCTACTCTAGGCTTTCCTTGAGGGTTTCTTGGCCAGCACTGGATAGGGATGATCCTGCTTACCCTGTCGAAGCTATTAGGAAATAGGGAAACCTAATTCACATATATCACAGCTCGTTAAGGTGAACATTTTGTCGGCTGAGCAGTTATTCCCAAGTAGAGCAATGTGAACACAGCAAGTCATTATGTTACGTCTAGTGCTTTCAGTTAATGATGGTTTCCTTCTAATGCCACTTTCCCTTCATTACTGCTTTGTTATAATTTAACACTTTTCCATTTATCCGTTGGTGGTTGACAAGCATGTCTCAAATCACAGTGTTTACATGTATATAAAATCACAACACGAATGACTGCTCAGGCACAAGAGTGGGTTTTTTTTATACTTTTTTTTATAGATTTCAAAGTACAAGGATACATTTGTATTTAAAAAGTGTCAGTGATGGAGTGATCACTGTGACCCTAAAGAAGTTATTCTGATGGGGTGCATCTACACAGCAGGGCTTACCTCGAAATAAGCTATGCAAATTGAGCTACGTCAATTGCGTAGCTTATTTCAAAATAGGGAGTGTCTACACAGCACTTATTTCGAAATAGAGCACTCTTCTTCTGACTTCCCTTACTCCTCGTAAAATGAGGGTTAAAGGAGTCAGAGTAAGAAGTCCTCCAGTTTGACAGTATTTTGACATTATTTTGAAATAACTGCCTGCTGTGTAGATGTGGACTAAGTTATTTCAGAATAACGCTAGTTATTTTGCAATAATGCTGCTGTGAAGATGTACCCATGGTTCATTACCTTCACTGTTTTTTTTTTTTTTTAAAAAAAAAGGAATGTATGCCTTATTTGTATTCTGAATTTGTCTAGCTTTGACTTCCAGGTAGTGGATCTCATTGTACTATTTCTGCTATACAGTAATTACGCGTTTAACACATTTTTGCAATAGTATGATTTTTGGGGGGGGACATTTTTCGAATAACACGACCGTCCCCAAAATAACACGAAAATAATCAAGTGGCGGACTACTTTGTGAGGCAGTATAAGTTGGTGAAAACAGTGGTAATACGCATGAGCGGATGAATACACGTGGTCACAGCGCTCCACTCACTCACTCACTCACTCACACTCACGTGTTTATCTTTGTGTTTTAAGAAATCGCAGTGACTTGTGTTGCTAGATATCTAATGTTGATGCTGACGACCCAGCACCAACAAAAAATTGACTTTGCCACTACCACCTGAAACACAACCCCCTCCTTTTCCATGATTTTTAATGGGAAAATTGACCCCGTATAGCACATTTTTGCTTAGTACGAACGTTTTCAGAAACGTATCTATAGTGTTAAATGAGGAATTACTGTACTGAAGAACCAAATTTCTGGCCTCTATATAACTATGTGTAGACTGAGAGCAATTCACTCTTACCCTTCCTTTGTAAAGCTACATTTATTGAGCTCCTGGAGTTGATTGCTATAAGGCATGTTTCCCCAACATCTTTAGCCATTCTGGTGCTATGACTCTGAACCCTCTTCAATTTTATCAACATCATTCTCAAATGTTGGGTACTAGAACTGGATGCAGGAGCACTGGAAGTTCCTAGCAGTGGGAGCCATGCCCAAAGTGGGGCCTGGCTGCTCCACTCTGCCCCTTCCTCCTAAGGTCTTATCCCTGCTGTACCCTTTCCCATAGGTCCTGAGCCCACTCCACTGCTTCCCCCTGAGGTCCTGTCCCCACCACTCCTCTCTATACCCTTCCTCCCATTGCTGGCTGTTAAGGCAAGTAAAAAGTGCCTGAGCCATGGCTCCCTGCCTCCACCCCACCCAGTCCAGCATGCCTGACTGGACACAGCTGTATTCCAGTAGTGACCACAGTTGTGATAAATACTGAGCTTAAAATAACCTTCCAATGCAAAGTTCGCCCAGGCTCATAGTATCATGTTGAGAAGCTAGGTTGGCAAGACTTATTTACTATAAACCCATATTATAATTAATTCTGAATGGCATTAATTAGCCACCTTTAATTATTGAGCCTGTGATGAGGTGTCCAGACCGACACTAAAAGGGTTAAGGGGAGCTAGAGTGCTCAGGGTGGTTGGTGGTAACTACAGGGCACGTCAGGCTTAACTAAGAATGAGGCCCAACTGGAGAAGAGCCAGGCAGCTAAGATAAAGAGCTTCAAGGCAGAAAGGAGGAGGAAGCTTGGGGATAATAGGGTTCAAGGTGCTCTCCCAAGAGCAGAGCTTTGGTAAAAGTTTAGAAGACACACTAAGCTACAGGGGTAGAGTAAGGTCCTGGAGTGAACATTGATAGAAAGTCAAGAACTGGCTCTCCAGGGAAAAAATCTGGGCCAATAATGTCTACAAAGGGTCTGAGGAAAAGGGCCAGGAGATAAGGCTAGGTAGGGAATAGACCAGCAAAGAGTCTCAGGAAACTGATCTTAGCTACTTGCTACAGGTCCCTGGGCTGGGAACTTGAGCATAGGG